ATCCCCATTACACACCGACCTTCTGTGTCAAAAATCCTAATGGGAAGTGGCGCATTTTTCATGCTTACAATAATCTTAATGCTTCCACAAACCCGGCCTAGACATCAATCCCTAGATTTAATGTTCTTCGAAACAACATGGTGGGACGTACGGTGTAAAGTGCGATCGACCTAGTCGATGGTTCTACCAGTTCTTCATTCGTGAGAGTGATGTCCCGCTGCCAGCATTCTGTACCCTTGTCGGTATTCTCTGGGAGTGGCTTGTAATGCCACAGGGGTTATCAAATACCCCAGCTGCATTCAATCGTCTTGTGTTGCAACTGTTTTGACCTCATCGATGTTATGCACAGACATACTACGATGACATAATTATCCATCGTCGTGCTATGAACTATCGGTGTGATGTGGATAATCATATCGACCATTTACGAGCATTCCTTGAGTGCATGCGTGCATATAAATTGTACACCAACTCATATAAATGAATCTTTGGTGCAAATGAGGATTCCTTTTTAGGATACTTCATTACAAAGAGAGGCCTTCGAGCTGATCTTGCTAAGGTGAAAGCCATAGTTGATAGGCCGGTTTTAAAGAAACATATGACGTACGTAAGTAGCTTGGTCTTGCCAATTACTTACACAAGTGTAGTGCGAACTACGCAAACATGGCATCGGCCATTATTCAATCTAATCAATAAGGATGTGCCGTGATGCTAGACTATCACTCGAGCACGATGATCTTTAATCAGTTAAAGAAAGTCTCTAGCATGCGTCAAAACGTTGGCTTTGCCCGATCGTGATCGGCCTTCCAGTGTTGTGTGTGACGCATCTGACTTTGCAATTGGCAATGCTATGCTTCAGACAGATGTCGAGGGACGAGAGCGCGTTGTTGGGTTTGAGTCTCGGCAGCTCACAGCTGCTGAAAAGAACTATTCCTTTCATGATCAGTAGCTACTTGTAATGAAGTATGCGCTTGTAAAATTCAGAATTCATCTGCTTGTCTCCAAGCCGTTTGTGATCTACACCGATCATGCGTCATTGCGCACTGCAACCCAGCCGCCACATCACTCTCAGAGAATGGCTCGTTAGCTTTCCTTCTTTGCCGAGTCAACTTCGAGGTGAAGTATAAGCCGGGCAAGCACAATTCTTCTGCGGATGCGTTGTCACGCAGGCCTGACTATGAGATTGCTCATGTTACGACTCTGTCGTCGTCGGTCACTGGCCTCATCCGTTCGGCATATGCCAAAGATGGATATTGTGTAGCTCTGCTACGTGCTCTAGGAAGCGAGGAGTTTCAGGACTCAGACATAGATTTGCTGGCACGATTACGTGAGAGGCTACATCGATATTACATCGATCAAGGCCTGTTGTGATGTAGCACAGATGTTGAGGATACTCCTCAGATCGTTACCCTCATGATGAGGAGTTGAAGTATCGGATCCTCTATGAGGCGTATGATACTGCGTTGAGCGGTCATCTCGGTCGTGAGAAGACCAATAGCTTAGTTAGTTAATGATATTGGTAGCCCAAACTTTACAAATGGGTTAGTACATATGTTCGTACGTATAAAAAAATATCAACGGGTGAAAACTTCAGCTCATGCGGCTGCTCCGCTAATTAGTCTACCCATACCCTCGGGGTGTTGGGAGTCCATCAACATGGACTTCATGTTCGGTTGCCGAAAGACGCACATGGCAATTCCGGTATAATGGTCTTTGCTGACCGCTTAAGTAGGATGGATCAATTGGCGGCTGTGCCAGATACCATTGGTGGTAAGGGCACAGCAACGGAGTTTATAAATCGTGTGTTTCGACAACACGGCTTGCCTATGGCATGTATCGGAGCGATACCCCCGCTTCACTGAAGATATTTTAAAAGTCCTTCTTCAAAGTGCTTGTCACACGATTGGACATGTCCACAGCGGATCATCCGCATACCGATGGTCAAACCGAGCGAAATTATTGCGTCATTGGTGACATATTACGCAGAGTTTGCGCTTATAAACCAAAACGATGGATCTTGATGATCTCGATCGTTGAGTTTGCGTTAAACAACGCTGTACATGCCTCGACATGTTTTGATACGTTCTATGTAAACGGTCTCACACATTTTCGCGTTCCGTTAACGCTACCACTCCGTAATTTAGGGATAAGTGGGGCAAAATGGACATTAGCTTGCTGGTATCATCCCTGCTTCTGTTAACAAACAGGTTAGCGAGATATCTCATTTCAACTGAATGCCTTACGACATGTGCGGGACGCCATGGCTGATAGCAAAGACAAGCAGAAGGAAAAATCTGATGATAAAGGCAGAGGTTGTATTGAAAGTGATGGGGTCGGAGACCAATATCTCCTTAACGCTAAAAACTTACCTGCAATTGTAGTGTCTGACGTCTTTAAGATTAAGTTGCGTCCGCGCTTCATTGGACCATTAACGGTCGTCGCCAAGAAGGGACTTGCGCATACGCTCAACCTTTCGCGCAAACTGCGCACACACCCTGTATTCTACGTGGGCTTGCTCAAGCCGTATAGGGAACTGTCTCACGTGAACTTGGAGACGCTTGCGCCGCGTAAATATGCCATCGGTTGCTAAATCCGAATTAGGAGGTCAAACTGAGCTTCCATACGGGCTTGGACCAACTCCAATGCCTGGATACGGGCTTGGTCCAACTCCAACGCCTGAACACGAGCTTGCATCGCGTCGAGAGCACTCTGGGACTTACACAATGTCTCATGTAGATTACTCAGCTCGAGAAGCAACTTATCATGCTCCTACTTCGATACACCGACCTCCACCGACGCTGCTTAATGAGCAAGGGCACCACCAGTTCCATGTGTAGAGCCTCCTGCACCGACGTCTTCTTCATGTTAAATACCAGCATCTGATGAAGTGGAGAAGGTAATCGGAGTCGAAGGAATCTTAGAGTATAAAATGCCACATCGGCAGGATTGACCATACGCCTTGGATGTTTTTAAAAATCGTGGCGAAGGTCATCCCTCGACCGAACGCGCTTCTCACCAATAGTAGTGGGAAGTAGAGGGTTGCTCCGCACCATTGTGTGAAATTTCGCAGCTACCGGCGTAGCCGAAGTACAGCGCGTTTGATTGCACAGTTAGCCTCTGGCCTTGAGCTTGGCGTATTCGTGCCGAAGCTTTCGTTCCAAACGAACATCAGCCACATCGACACTTGCTCTTAGAGCTGTGATGCTGCTGGGGTGCAGCTTGCGGTACACCCAGTACATAAATTGGTTGTCCTCTTATTCAAAAAACTCATCGGCGAACAACAAGATGGGCACGCCCTTTATCGGTCGAACCAAAATACCACAAGCCAGGATCACAAGGTGTGCCTTGTACTGACCTTCTGTGGTCAAGAATGGTTCGAGATGTCTCTCATGCAGAACCTGGCGTAAGGCGATGCCGTCAGGCGTCGTAGCCTCTGGGGAAATGGCCCATGTTGAGAGGCCACGGTCTTCTATTTGACGGAGACGTTCTTCCACGTCAGGTGTTGAGAACACATAATTGCTCCGGTTTGAACAAGCCTCTTGGTATGAGCGCGACGAAAGGCTTTCTCCTCACGCTAAAGAATCAATCCTGTTGATCGTCGAGTGGTTTGGTGATGATGTGTTCACCGGCACTTGTCTTCTATGATGCTGCACCATTGGCGCGGTGATTTCACCACGTTCAACGAACGGGTTTGGTGCTGTGAGGGGTAGAACCTTAGACACAGGGGGTTGGACGTTGTCTTGTCATCTCCATAGACATTGGTATCGCTACCATAGTGCACATCTTCATCAAGCGAGGTACGAGGAAAGAGTCCTAGACTAGTTGGGTGGCGATGCCATGGTATTTCGTGTATTAGCAAATTGTAAGGTTTAAGCGTACACACCGACTTCTTCGAGAAAAGAAATCGTTTGACGTTTCGTGGTAACGTCAGTCCGGAGGGGGAGGGTGTAACGGGGTTACACAACAGGTGTGTGTAATGGGTTACATAACATGTGTGGTACACAAAGGAACGGAGTTTCATTAAAAATGGTACAAGAAGATCGTATTAATTGTCGGGGGCTGACGTTTGTCAGCCACCGAATCAAGAGATCTTTTAGGAGGTATAAATTAGAACAGTAATGACTAGGTTAAGTGCGTTGTTCTGAGGTGTTCTTTTAGATATACAGAATTAAAGTTCAGTACCTATTTTGATCAACAAAAGAAACGTGCCTCACGAGGCGTCTTTGATCGTAAGAGCTAGCAATGCCTTGAAGATAGCTGCTCTTGAGACTTTTGTGCTGTGATTCTTCTAAATTGTTTGGTCCTTCTGGAACAGGGACCGTTAATTTTCTGAGATTGTTGACTCTCTGAGTCGGGTTCTCTGAACCAAAGTTGCTCGTAGAGCGTGAAGTCTCCCTATTGCTTAATGAGCTGTGTAGCTCCGCTACACATCCGGTGAATGTATGTTGTCTGAGAATACAGGGTGTAGCAGGGGCGGTTACTGTCAGTAAATCAGCGCGCAGTGAATGTGTCGCGTGAGGTTGGTAACGTTTTGTGTAGAGTAGGAACTTGTGAATGCGTTAGGAAGACTCGAATTGAGATGTAAAGCATCGCACATGCTGATCTTTGCTGAATTTCTTGCTTCGGCATTGACAAACAACCAGCGAAACATCAACCGAAGAAGCAGATGAAGGACGGTAAACCACGCTACAGTCCGGGTTACACTGCTATTTATGTAAATAAGCAAAACAAGCCTGTATACATCTTCATTCGTACACATCTTTCTCCGCTGTAACGCTCTATCCGTATGAATCGATCAAGCCACCAATCCTCCTATTGATCCTCCACCTCTCTATCCGCTCAATGTGTGGCGGATAAACGCATCTCCTCCCCCTCCCCACATCTTTCGATAGACACGTCGAAACCGCACTCTCCACCTAGTCGTCGTCCTGCCATCCACTAGCTCACCCCTTCCGTCCACCCTCTGTGTCCCTCGCCCCCCTCCCGTGTCTTGTCGCACCATGGAACGCATGAAGAGCAGCATCACGGGCGACGCGCACTTTTTCGAAGAGAGCATGAATCTGGACCGCATTCGGAAGCTGCTGGACAACAAACTGGGCGTCGCGGGCCACAGCGAGAAGCTCGAGGCAATGAAAGCGCTGCTCGCGAGCATCTCGAAGGGCGAAGACGTCTCAAGCCTCTTTGCTGACGTGGTGAAGAACGTCATTGTCGCCAGCGTCGAAGTGAAAAAACTCGTCTACATGTACTTGGTGCACTATGCCGACGCGACGCTGCAGTGTCGGGAGTTGGCGCTCCTGAGCATCAACAGCTTCCAAAAAGATTTGGCAGACCCGAACCAGCTCATTCGAGCGTTGGCGCTCCGCGTGATGACGAGCATCCGCGTCCGAGAGATTCTTCAGATCCAACTTATTGCGATCCGCAAGTGTGCGGCCGATGAATCGGCTTATGTGCGAAAATGTGCGACCAACGCGATTAGCAAAGTGTTTGTCGTGGACCCCGAGCAGAAGGACGTGCTGGCGGAGATCATTGGCACGCTCCTGCATGACTCGAGTACGATGGTCCTGGGCAGTGCCGTGCAAGCGCTGAGTGAAGTGTGTCCGGATCGACTGGATCTGCTGCACGGACCGTTTCGGAAATTATGCCACTTGTTAGCAGACATTGATGAGTGGGGACAGACGGTCACGTTGAGTGTACTGACTCGATACTGTCGCGAGCAGTTTCAGGTCGTGGACGACAAGAAGCAACGAAATGGTGACGTCAAAGTAGCGCCGACTACATCAGGTCATCATAACGGCTTTTATTCTGACGATGATGGTGACAGTGGAGACTCCGATGACGCAAACGGGAAGAAAAAAACTTGTCGAGGATCCGACCGTTCGTTCCTGAACAAGTCGCCATTCATGCTTGGACTAGGAGGCGCAAGAGGAAAACCAGTTGCGTCTGTCGGCTCAGTGTTCCGCCAAGACGCGCTTGGGAGCGGCATTGGAGCTGGCGAGGAGCTGGATGAAGACCACCGGTTGTTGCTCCGCTCGTCGATTCCGCTGCTCAAGTCCCGGAACAGTGCAGTGGTGCTGGCTGTTGCAACGCTGCACTACTATTGCGGCACGCACAGCATGGCATCGTCTACGCTCATTGGCAAGTCGCTCGTGCGCATCATGCGCAATCAGCGTGAGATCCAGTACGTCGTGCTATCGGTCATTTCGTCGATGGCAACGACGCATCCAGACATGTTCCGCCCATTTTTGCAAGAATTCTTCGTACGCGCTACGGATCCAGCTTATGCGAGAAAGCTTAAGCTGGAGATTTTGACTTCGCTTGTCACGAACGAAAACGTGAGCATCATACTGCGGGAATTTCAGGCATATGTTCGCCATGTGGACAAATCCTTTGTGACCATGACAGTTCGTGCTCTTGGACGCGTGGCAGACGCCATGCCATCGGTCGCTGAGCGCTGTTTGAGTGGACTGATGCGCCTCGTTCGCTCGTCAAACGAGCAAGTTGTTGCCGAGAGCGTGGTGGTCATTCGTCACTTGCTCCAGCAGCAAGCGATCGAGAAGGATCGCCTTCGGGTCGTGCGGTCGTTAGCTGCAATGATGGTTACTGGTCGCGTGACTAGTCCATCGGCACGTGCATCGATCGTCTGGATGCTTGGTGAGTTTAATGTCGATGGTGTTGGGACCGCATGTGCAAAAGAATCGCTTCGTTTGCTCGTAAAGAACTTTTCTGATGAGTCGAGTGATGTGCGTCTCCAGCTTCTAAATCTTGCGGTCAAGCTTGGTCTGCGTGAACTAGAGAATCGGACGATTCAACTTTTACTCCAGTATGTGATCGAGTTATGCAAGTTTGACATTGACTACGATGTGCGTGACCGCGCTCGTTTGATTCGTGCTGTACTTTCTGGAGATGCGACCATTGTGGATCCGCGTAAGTTATTCGCGAGCAAGAAGCCAGCACCGGCGATCGGATGCGATGATGAAAGCAATTCTCGCTTCACGCTCGGCACGCTGTCAGGCGTTGTGCGCCACAGTGTTCCAGGATATCTCCCTTTGCCGAAATGGCGTTCTTCCAAGCCGGATCCATCACTCCGTGACGAATCCTCCATGTTTGACACCAACCGTGGCGGTTGCTCGCATCTTAGCTCTAAGGCTATGAAGAAGGAAGAAAGAAGAAGCAGTAAACAAGGGTTTTACACAGACGAGAGTGTGTCTAGTTCCGAGTCAGACTCTGCGTCGTCGCACGACTCTGACCTTGAGAGTAGCTCAGACGATGACTCTGAAAACAGTAGTAGCGAAGGTAGTCCCTCTGGTTCCGAGTCAGCTTCGTCTAGCTCAGGGTCTGAAAGTGAGTCGGAAGACATGTCTTCGGACAAGGAAGATCATCCGCGCCGACGGCAAAATGATGGGAAAACAAAGCCGCTGCATAATCGACCGCAATCAAACAAGACAAGGTCGGCGAATGCTTTTACTCCGCTTGATCTGTTGGGATCGCCATCGAGTGGATTCGCGACAAATTCCTTGGCGCAACCAGATGGACACGTGGCTCTCTCGGCAGGCTCGACTTCCAATTTTCTGGGCGATTTAATGAACTTGAGCGTCTCCTCGTCGATGACTCCGCCTCGACGTAACGAACTACTCTCCTCGCTCGTTAGTAATGGATTGGATGTTCACTACGCCTTCTTGCGCCAAGCCTCGACGCACTCTCCCCATATGAATGTCATCCAGATGTGGCTGGCAAATAACTCTAGTGAGCCCATTTCTAGCATTCAAGTTGTTGGCAAGAATCCTCAGCAAGTTGTTCCATGTCCAGCTGTGCCGGTATTGTTCCCTGGTGGATCTAATTCAATGGTCCAGTTGCATGTGGACTTCATGGGCTGCCTTGATTCAGTCGCTCTTGAAATTGTCACGAGTGCCCAAAGATACGAAGTTGACCTCGCGCCAATCATTGGAGAGCTGTTCATTCCCCAACAAATGAGCTTGAACGATTTCGAACGTCGCATCTCCATGGCAGATACGACGTCCTTCCACACCAGTGAATTTGCCTTGCCGATTCCTGTTCAAATGAGCACGGTCGTGCAGGCTGTCTTGAGGGATTGCAGTGTGGCGCAGATCTACGAGATTGACCACGTGGATGGTGTGGCAGGCAAGTGCAAATTCGCCGGACGTTTTCGCAGTGGCGCAACCAGTGCTGAACATGTTCTGATCGGCTTGGAGGTTCAACTACAAAGTGGCAAGGGGCGACTTCTTGTAGTCATGCGGGACGCCGTGCTCTCCCAGCGACTCGGCACATATATCCGGCAAGCTTTGTCGCCGCAAGGCGCATAAATGATCGACAGTATCGTCAGCCAGCTCTGCGGTAAACGTCGATGGAGATGTCGACGTCGTGTGAAGAACCGGGAGATAGCGCAAAGCACAGCACCTTTTGGGTATGTCCACGTCGTGCAATGCGCTTTTCAGCGACAGAATCAGACTTGGCCAAGGCGAACGATGTTTGACAACATCTTACGAACGATACTGCAAACTAAACGTTCTTCAATCTTATAAGCCTCCTGTGGAGCTTTGAGTTTGACTAACGTGCACCCGGCGAATACTCGACCGCCACTTGCTAGGTGAGCATACTAGTAGGGTCTTTTCGAACACGTGCGTAGTAAACGGCCTGCGCAGCAAGCAGCGCAACTGGTTGCTGTGGAAAAAAGAATGGAGGCTTTGCGACAGAGGGTCTCGTGCTCTAGTTGTATGACCGCGCTCAGCTTACGGCTTGGTGTACTTGACGTTGGTACCGCAAGTAAGAACCGAATCTACACGATAGCAAAACGAGAGAATCATCGGATCAAAGAGTCAGCGATCGTCGAACTGAGGTGTGTAGACTAGCGGCAATTTTGGACCTGACGGCACTGAACGGTGTACGTGTCAAGAGCTGATGTTGCGACAGAGAAATGTTCTGAAACTACCGGTCGGCAGTTCCAACGTAGTCATTCCAGTTTACCGCACGCCTCGCAGGATAGGCCTCGTGTGATAAATAGAACAAATGACACTGCCATTTAGACACGAGTCGTACAAACACAGCGAAGACGGTTCTAAACGACTGGGAGCACTTTTGCTTCAAGAGGGAGTGCCGGGACCTTCGCCAAATTGGCAAACGCCACAGGTGTACGCGTAGCTACTAGATCAACACAAGATATAACTTTCGATTTGTCATCGTCCGGAACTCGTTGAAACGTCGACGATAGCCATGTATGTCTGCATACAGGAAACTTGATCAGGTCGTAGAGTATCTGACTGCAATAACAGAATTTCGGCTTTGTCGAGGCAGTTCCGACCCCTTGCGGTGAACGTCCGTGCTGTCATTGTCATCGTCGAGAATGCGGAGTGCGTAAGAAAACGCAGGCTTGAAGGTAGGACATCCCCGATGCAAGCCAAGAGAGCAACAAATTCCAAGTAAATGATTATTCATGGAGAACAACGCGCACCTTCCCGTCCCACCAGATTTCCTTCGCACTGCGTGAACGTCACTACCTGACGACTCAAATGAACGGTGTATGTGCTGGAGAAAATACAAGCGAGTCCTCGTCACTTGTATCGCTTGTTGATCAGGCATGTTTCTGCATGGCGCCAATACCATTCACATGAGGATGACAGTGCAGGCTCAGTGTGTCCGTTCAACCGAGTCGTAAGTACGTCACATCTCGTAATTAAATGGCTGTCACTGTTGCTGATACGGCAACGGCTTGATTGCGATGTCTATGTTCAATTTGTTCATGATGGTGATGCTACTGTCGTTTTGCTGATAAATGTCGCCGTACGCTACCTGCCGTTGCTTGATTACACTCGCTCACAGAACTCGCAGTAACGCAAATTGGCATGTCAAGGGTCACAACTCTTTCGCCTCATAACAACGTGATGTCAGTTGTGTCTGCCTCTTCTTTAAGAAGCAATTTTGATCATGCAGGCTTTGGGCAGAGGATCTGCATCGCATGAATATCGATCATATCGACCAGGTCATGTATGCATACGGTCTATCGGAGCGACCGGAATAGCGCTCGTAGGGCTTGTCAGGTTGATTGTTGTCAAGTAGCACAGCTACCAAAGCGATCGCTATAGCTCTCGTAGAGCTTTCCAGGTCGATTGGCGTTAAGCAGCACAGCTACCGGAGCTCCAATGTATGACCCCATGCTTTTCTTCGATACTGGTGCTAAATCAACCAGTCAATCAACGAATCTTGTTATGTGGCGAAATTAAAAGAATCTGCTCGAATGTACACACGCCTATGCTAAAGTTCGATTGGGTTGGGTTTGAGCCTGCTGAGCTCGTACCAAAGTTTGGATATATGAGGTAGGCCACCATACCACCAACGACGGGTTCGTGAACACGGCAAAGCGATACGCTTCTTCACTTCATACGTCCACTCAACGTTGACTAACACAAGGCCCTCAAATGTTCTGTCATACCCCGACCGAGCATGTCAATGTCGGATAAAAACGTCTATGTTTCGCATGAATGGTCGTTACAAGTACGATCAAAGCTAGAGCCCATACCATATTACCATGGCAGCGACACAATTATGAAGCACGTCTTACCACACTCATAGTTCTACGCTCCTTTGGCATAGCAGAGTTACGGTATACGGCTTGAAAGCGTAAAGCCACTGCATTGATCACTTGTATCACAATGCCCCATGGCGACTTGTCCATCACGCTCCTGCTTTGTATTACGATCAAGTTCAACGTTTATTTGTGGTGAACTATGTTGGCAAGATCAACAGACTACAGGTACGAGGTGTGAAGATTCTTATACTCAGGAAGATTCACAGGTCCACCCTACGACTGACATCATGCCACGCACAGCCACCAGATGATGAGAGTGCCAAGCCCAAGCGCTTGGGAAGGTCATTGCTGTTGGTAATGCTGTACGCGCTCTATGCTGTATAAATCTAATAGTTTACCAAAGTCATTCTCGCCACAGTACGGAAAGATCGCGAAGCGAACAACAGCACGTCTGAAACACCAAATCAACCGATTGTCGTGATCTGATCCCGTAACGGAGTAGGGCGAAGTGCATGTGTTAGCAATAAGGTTAGTGGTCTGTACTTGCCAAAAAGGAGACAGACATGCCACCCTATTGCGCACCAACATGGCGTTGGATCATGAAGCTGCGGTCTTTGCCTCCTCCCTGTATCGTGTTAATTTCTGAGACGTTCTCCATCAGGTATATTCCAGACATTGTCGTAAAGTACTGATAGGCTATGTTGCTAATAGCAATGATACAGGAGTATAAGGTACGGAATGATACGCAAATACGGTGACCGAGTCGACACATGAAGATGAAGCTAAATATTTGAGCTTTGTCCAAGTCACTATTCGTGTCCGTTGCATTCAAGTTTAGCGATTGGCCTGCTGCAATTTGACGCAAAAAGCTTCAGGAAGTGTGGCGTCGCTGCGGCACTAACAATCCGTTCCTGATGGGATAGCATCGAATGTACCAATCCGGACGTGACAGCCACATAACCACGTGCGTGACTAAGTATGCACCACGGTATGAAACGATTTATCATGCTTTTAAGGCTCGAATGCTGACATCGCGTGCAGTAAGTCGCTCTTGTCCTTCTTTCTTGACATGTCATGTACTTGCGTGCTGTCTGCCATGATTCACCGAAATTGAGGTAATGATTTATTTGGCAGCGGACTTGCAAATCACCGCTTAAGTTGAACCATACATCGGTCGGTTAAGCTCACGTGATACACCATAACCATAACTTTTGTCGATACCTATTCGTTTATCGCACAGTCAGTAATGTTTCCGAATGAAGCATATATCAGGGTCGTGCGGATCTTAAAGAGATGTAGAGTATAAATGTTTTGTGCTCCAGATACAAGTGTTGCCTCAATGTAGATTTCCCCGTTACTTCTATCACCGTAATTACGCTGTAAATTTGTGACCCTTGCATAGTCGTACCCTGCTTGCATTCGAATAAGAGCTTCCACCCGATATGGACGAAGAATACGACAAAATTCAGAAGTTAAGTTCTGACGTATGACGACTGCAAAACGGTTGACTTGAGCATCGAAACAGCTTACATTTGTTCTTTTCACTATGCTGTTCTATGGATGTGGTCAACAAAAACGAGAGTGGATTGCCACCTTTACGGAACGCATTCATGGTTCCATTCTCGTGTCCACGTATACATTTCATCACGTATGTTCTGTGTATACATACAGAGTGCTATTGCACGCAATCAATATACATGGAAGTTAAGCAAAATAGGGTGCAGGGCGTCGTCTTGATTGCGGCAAAGATCCGCGCACAACATGGCTTGGAGAGATATGTAAGAAGGTTCAAAGAACAAGTGGCTGTTGACTCGTTATCGTCTTCTTTTGAGTTACCATGGCCCTAACCTGATTCGCTGTACCAACATGACGATCTAGATCCCTGCATTAACACAAGATGCGTCACTTCGTGATCTAGTAAAAAGACACGTTTATCATCCACATTCGCTTTCAGACAGACTCTACGTCATAACAATGTGAATTATGATCGTACTGATATCGTACACAGCAAAAAATTGAGGTTTTTGAGATCTCCAACACTACCACTCGCAGTGCAAGCATTTACCCCTATCACGTCTTCCATGTGCAAATAGGTCCATTATAATAGTACTTGTGATCATCGTACCAAGTCGTCTTGTTAAATAAGTCAGCCTGTATACGTCGAACACTAGTACTATGTAAAGTAGTCGTATGTGTTACAACTACTTCATTCTCTACAAGCACATTTGCTTTCATGATTAGTCACTTCGGGGTCGCCAACGTTCGTTAAACGACTCGCTTTTTCTTCTGTGGTTGTCGTAAAGATAGGTATGCTAAAATTTATATTAATGACTTAACTCGCGTATGGCTTCCATCTGCTTTAATCATACTACCATGCATTGATTATGACGCGCAAAAGTGAAAATGACCAGTATCTGTTTTGACAGTAACAACTCAGATCGCAAGACTTGAAAATTGTAGCAAGCTCAGACAGGCTGTCATCTGCATTTAGCACAAACTATCATTTTGCAATGTCGCCAAGACAATTTCGTGCAAATGCCAATAACGCGCAAAATGAAGTGTCAGTCCATTCTATCTAGATATAGCGAAGAGATGTAGATTGACGAACAAACAGTCCTTCGTGGACAATGACGGCGATGATTTCAATGATCCCAATGTTTTCAAGGTCCAAAATGGTGTCGATTGAGCTGTAAATAAGAACGTCTTACCTGCTTGGCTGATGGCCAGCTCGCAAATAGATTGCAAAAATAACAGTGAGGAGTATTTTGCTTATGATGTGAT